TTATTTTCCATACGGAGATGATCGAGGAACGCCACCGACCTCTCCAACATAGCTAAAGTTCCATTTCCCCTGAAATTTCAAAACTCGAAAAGTTGATCGAGCTCTTCCTCGATGGAAACAACTTCACAGGCGAAATCTAGATAGAAAATATGAGCAGCCTTTCGCTTGTCAACATATCAAATAACCAGTTCGACAGGAACTTGGATTGGAATTACTCGAGCCTCGCCAGTCGGCAAGTGCTCGATTCGATAACAATAACTTCTCTGCTTATCTGCCGACTGGAGTTTGAGGAATCTCAAGTAGTTGGAATTGAGAGGAAACTATTTCCATGGTCGAATCCCTCGTAAATCTCGATCTTTCTGTCTATGCATTAACAGAAGAAATTCCATATGAATTCGTAAACCTCAAGCAAGTCAAGCTTCTCAAACTGTTCATGAACAGATTGCACGACTCGATACCGGACTTTATATATGATTATTCCGAGTTGAGAACTCTCGGTCTTTGGATGAACAATTTCACCAGCACTATGCCGAGGAATCTTGGCAAGAATCAAAAGATCCAAGACTTAGATTTGTCTTCGAACAAACTCATACGTACAATTCCAAAACACTTGTGTGCACCGAAGCAGCTCAGAATATTGATTCTACGAATAAACTTTCTCTTCGTTCCGATACCAAAGGACTTGGGCGAATGTACGAGTCCTGTGAGGGTGAGGTGATGACGTGGGCCTTGGGCGAGGCCGCCAAAGTGCCTAATCAATAGTTATTTCTTTGGGGCATTTTATCAAACAAGTTCCTCGTGATGATAGGAATTTAAGAGAATGACTGATACAGCTCCAAAAATATAGAATGAATCGAGCGAATCCTCATGTTTGATGCTCCAGAACAGAGCCTTGATTGAGGAAGACTCCGAAGATAGGTTGTGGTTGATCTCTCATCGATCTTAGCTCATATCCTTTTTGCCAATTGATAAGACCAAAGATCTTAACTCGATATTTCTCTCCAGATATGTGAAATCCATCTTTATCATTTTTCACAACGCTGGTAGTGAGTTTAAATTAGTTCGCGACGTTGAGAGCCGTAGTGGTCACTCAAAACGAACTTTGCTCGGCCTCTTCTTTCTTCTACTGCCCATCTCCATTTCACATGATTTTCCTCGCGATGTACCACACCAATGCATTGCCACCAGTGGTTAATCGAAATACGAAGTTAGAGGTTCGCAATCTACATTCTCGGAGTTCGCTGAATAAAGGACTGCCTCGATAACATTTCTTAATTCTGGGGACACAATATCCTGCTAAGTAAATTCCGGATCCCGTCAATGATTACCTCGAAACTCGAGCTCAATTTGTAGCACCCACGTATTATATGAGACCTCTTATCAAACAGCTTCAAGACAAATATGGAGCTCGCTTCCAGCCTTGGAAGTTGACCAGGTCATAAAATATCTTGTGCAACCGATGGGCGAAGTGTTCAGCCCAGAGTGTGCTCTTTGGGGCCTTGTATCGAACAGCTTGCGGATGGGTCTATAGATTTACGCAAAATCATACGAGGGGACAAGGGTACTTCGAAATTTTCCCCTTCTCTTGCCGATTCTTCTCGATCTCAATCTTTTCACATGTGGTGGTTTTGCGAGATTCGATCTCGACAAACGAGGTCGACGATACTTGGCTCGGTGGACATGGGTCGGTGAGCAATGAGATGGGGTTGACGGTTCGGTTCTTCTCTCTTTTCTTTTCTCATCCTGATTTGTCAAGCTCATGATTCAGGATCTGAACTCGTTTCATGTTGTTTAACTCGAGAATCTACTTTCCTTTCCAGATTCTCCACCTCTTTGTAATTCCATTGATTCATCAGATCTGGGACACCAACTCAAGATTTGAGCCCCTTTCTTGGTTCCAGTTAAAGATTCCCCAAGAAATCCTATGAATCGATCTTCTTCGATTTTTTTTTTAGATTTGCCATCTAGGGCAGCTCATCATCTTCAACCTCGTGAAGAAAACTCTAAAATCAGATCATCTCACGTCTTAGCTCGAGATCTTTCCCACCGACGGCGCCACTTGATTTGCTCCAAAATAGTCGAGATGATGACGTGTCCTCCTTGAAAGATATTTTGGATGATAGCTTGTCGGAGATTTCGCCGGAGGGGTACCTGCAACGCCGGGAGGGGTTTCCCGGCGTAGAAGCTCCGACGATCAAGTCAGTTTTTATTCAGAGATAATCGATTGTAATGTGCAAGAGAGAGGCATAGAAGCTCCGACGATCAAGTCAGTTTTTATTCAGAGATAATCGATTGTAATGTGCAAGAGAGAGCATAGTCGTGAAAGGTTAAGAGTAACTCCCTATTTATATGTGAGGATATTGCCATAACTCCTCTTCTTGGGCCTGATATCACTTTGGGCCAAATACAAGTGAAAACCCGATCCATGGCCCAATAAAGAGTTAGGAAACCCCGTGAGGACAATTTGGTCCGTATCACACGCAATTTTGAAATGAATGGTTAAGATGTTGTTGAATTCGTTTACGTCACATTTCGTATGCGGGAATTGAGAAAGAAATGCAACACGTATTCCCAATTTTATGAATTTGATTGGTATATTTTGGGATTGAGAATCCCCATTCCCATAGAAATGCTCATACCCACAATTATGGAATTAAAGATTCCTCCACTCTTCATGGTTTTATGTATGGAGTAAATATTTTTTTCTCAATTTGACAAAATTATTCCTATCAATATCTTTGTTTTGATACAAAATTATCTTTGTGTGTGTATGTTGTAAGATCAATCACTTTAATACTTGAATAAATTTAGTTAATGTTTGTCCGTGGATATAGGATTCTTCTAGTCGAACTGCGTATATATGTGCGTACTTTTTTTTTTTTTTTTATTATTATTATTATTATTATTATTATTATTATTATTATTATTATTATTATTATTATTATTATTATTATTATTATTATTATTATTATTATTATTATTATTATTATTATTATTATTATTATTATTATTATTATTATTATTATTATTATTATTATTATTATTATTATTATTATTATTATTATTATTATTATTATTATTATTATTATTATTATTATTATTATTATTATTATTATTATTATTATTATTATTATTATTATTATTATTATTATTATTATTATTATTATTATTATTATTATTATTATTATTATTATTATTATTATTATTATTATTATGTTTTTCCTTCAAATATAACTTTCAAAACTCGATAACCGTGCATTCTACTTGTTTACATTCCTAGGAGTAATATACAAAATTACAAACTGGCAAGGACAAATTAAGTATGAAAATATATTCATCAAAAAAAAAAAAATAAGTATGAAAACAAGTTACAAGTATCCGAATTATTTTGCAGATAATATATAATAGCATTCTTCACATTTTGGCATTAAGATTTTGAGTTTTATTAAATAATATGAATTTGTTCCAACCCGTGAGCTTCTTTGCAATTAAGAAAATGCTCATAGAAATTATTTGTTCTTAATTTAATTTAGAAATTATAAATAAAGAAAGAAAAAATAGAAAAAGGGATAAATTACGGCCACCCCTGACGTAAGATTGAATTACGAAAAAAACTATTCATGTTTGAGTAATTATAACCACCCCTCAATTATGAATTTTCTTATAGGGTTAAATACAAAAAAACCATTGTACTAATGGACTTTGTATCATATACCCCTTATACTACATATAAATACAAAAACCCTCTACTGTCATTTGAATAAAACTTTTTTTTTTTTTTTGAGTTTCTTCATTTTTGTTTTCATTGATTTCCCAAAACAAAATTGTATTTATTAAACTTCTCAAATCATTTTCTCAAAGCAATTTTAAAAGTTTTTTTCTCCTTCAGAAATGATGGGACTACTATTGTAAAATGATTTGACTGCTACAGTAAAATATATCTTCACTAAAAACAGATAAACATCACTTCATCTTTCAATTTTTTTCTTCTAAAATATTTTTTTTCTAACAACTTTAAACATGATTTGACTCCTACAGTGTATTTTGTCTCATTCCAAAATATAAACAAACATTACTTTCATTCTCAAATTCTTCCCTCTAAACTTATTTTCTCAAAAATAAGTTCCAAAACACTTCCAAACATTGCCTAAGCAATTAGATGTTTTAGAGAAAAAATTAGAGATATCAAAATTTCACACGTAAAATTGGCTGAAAATGGTAAACTATATATAGTGGAAATGGTTCAAACGGGGCCATATATATATATATATATATATATATATATATATATATATATATATATATATATATATATATATATATATATGCGTGAGTGGGGGCATTTTCCACATATTTTGAAAAAAAATGTAATGTGAAGAGGGTTTTTGTATTTATGTGTAGTAAGGGGGGTATATGATACAAAGTTCATAGTACATAGGTGTTTTTGTATTTAACCATTTCTTATAGTTCATTCTTACGGTGTCACATTTAGTGGAATTTTCGTGATTATCTGTAATATCCTTCAGTTTGTACCCGTTTTACCCTATTCGAACTCCGTATTTTGAAACAAGATGATGATAAAATGTGTTTCTTGGCTTGTAAATATCAGATTATGGTGCATCAGAAACTGCAATTTTGCAGAACACAAGTACAAACTAAAAAACATTCCATATAACCTAGAAGATTAAGTTGAATTTAACACTATAAAAATAGACGTATAAGAAGATTTATAGTTGATAGATGATTGGAATTACCAATACAGAAGGAAGTTTTTTCGTAGTTTAACTAACCGTAGTTTACCGCCAAAACAATTATGGCATTCTGAATGACTGCATAATAAAAGACAAAACAATAATGTCCAACCATATATATAATAATATCACTTCATTTTGTTTTATTTTATCCAATAATAAAAAATTAAAAGAAAAATTCCCATAATTTTGTGGTTATCCTCAATTTCGAATCACTACACAATCCTTTCCAATTCCCAATAAGCTCAAATTTTCATCTCTCTACTCCCATTTTTTTTCACCAACTCTCAATCAAGAAACAAAGAAAGAAAGAAAGAAAGAAAAGCAATTAATTAATAATGGATGACAAAGTTGACAGACTCGTAATCTTCCTAGCAAAGAGGGACGGGATTGACAAGCTAGTCAAGACTTTCCAGTACGTATCCAAGCTGGTCCACTGGCGCGTCGAGAATTCCCACCCACGCGCCGCCGATAGGGCCAAGCAATGGGAGGTGGCGTCTGGCCTGAGCCGCAAGGCCTTCCGCACGGGCCGATTCCTCACGGGCTTCAACGCCCTCCGCCGCAACCCGGGGCCCACCGCGACCTTCCGCGCGCTGGCCGTGCTGGCCAACGCCGGCGAGATGGTGTACTTCTTCTTCGACCACTTCCTCTGGCTGTCGAGGGTTGGGGTTCTGGACGCCAAGCTGGCGAGGAGGATGAGCTTCGTGTCGGCGTTCGGGGAGGCGTTTGGTTACGTGTTCTTCATCGTGTCGGATTATATAGTCATCCGGGATGGGATTAGGGCGGAGAGGAGGATTGTGGAATCCGGGGTGGAATCTAAGGAGGGTGACGTCATCAGGAAAATTAGGGCGGATAGGGTGATGAGATTGATGGGGGTGGCGGCGAATGTGGCGGACTTGGTGATTGCTTTGGCGGATATCGAGCCTAATCCTGTGTGTAATCACGCGGTTACTCTTGGGATTAGTGGACTTGTTTCTGCTTGGGCTGGTTGGTATAGAAACTGGCCCTCTTAATCATTATAGATTTTATTTAAAGGGGAAATTACCGTTGCCCTTCAAGTCTTGCACCGATTTCACATTTGATCTCCCATGTTCACAAAGCACACATTTGGTCGCTCGTGTTTGAGTAATTTAACACTTTTGAAGTTTGATGATTTTCGTTTATTTACCGTTAGTCCGTTAGTTAAGGAAGTGATGGGCGAGCGCTTCATTCTGTTAGTTTTAACGGGATATTTGACGAAAAGTACTAAAAGTTATGAGTTTTTGAAATATTAGGGACCGAATGTATTTTTTTCAATATGGGGACCAAATATGAAATAAGTACAAACTTGATGGACAAAAATTGTATTTTCCCATTATTTAAATCATCTTTTTTTTTTCTTTTTCTTTTTTTCCCGCATTCGCAAAATATTTTTGTATTTGTTATTTTTTTTTTTTCGACGGTGCAAAATGCGAATAAGAAGTTGTGTAGATAATAATTTTGTATTTTTGTGTCGACAATGAAAACCAATAATTAAAATGAAATTGGGTTTTTTTTCGACTACTTCAGATTTGTTACTACATTCCTTCGACTATTTCAGACATGTGAGAATAAGTTTTCGGTATACTCTACTTTTGTGAGTTCAAATATTCTTGACTTGCCCAACCGACATTTGAGCAACAATGAGTAGAGTCGTTCCTTCGACAGTGAATCTCAATATTCTCTACCTTTGTGGGCTAAAGACTCTCGGGATTCGCCAATCGACATTTGAGCAACATCAATATCAATATTATTATGTATTCTATTTCATAAATGACTGAAAAATAAATATTTTTTGTACTCCACCGATTTCAATCAAAAATCTTTTGGACGAAGTTTTTTTCCTTATTTTCCTATTTTCCGATCTCTGATTTTTTTCGAAATTGTATTGAAACGAAACTGGCTTAGTTTTTCACTTCCATTTTTTTTGTAATTTGTTCTCGAACATGTTAATTTAACTCGACCTTAGCCGATTTCGGAAGGAAAAAAAACTTGTTCAGGAAAAAAAAAAATCGAATTGAAAACGGGTGGATTTATGAAATTCCACTTTTGCTCAAGTGTAATATAATACAATGGTTATTATAATGTATACATGTGTTTTTTGATTTTTTCTTTGGAATTTTAAAAATTATTTTTGAAAATTAAAATCGGACTAGAAATCCGTTGTCATATATATATTCAATTCCAAATTCAAGTGAATAATAATTTAAAAAAAAAAAAAAGAAATTGGAAAAAAATATTTATTATGATAAAATAAAATAAATTCTTAATCGCGAAAATTAAAAAAAATAAACCATGTTTATACACAGAAAGAAATTTCACCCAAATCTCCGCCATTTTCAATTCTACACTTCCTATTTCGTCACAATCCAATTGCGTTCGCCATCAATCAATCAATCAATTTGTAAGTACACTCTGTGTGTATCGTCTGCGCCCCCCTTTTTCTATTCGGTGATTTCATCTTCTTCAATTCAGTTTTGGGGTTTTACTTTTGCCGGAATTTTCTGAATTTTTTTGGGGCTTTTTCTTCGGATAGTTTGAAGAATGGCGGAGGAATTGAGTCACGCTTCGAGATATGTGAAGTTGAACAAGGATCAAGGCCCGATGGAGGAGATTAAGCCCGGCGAGCTTAATCAGCCAATCGATGTTCCTCAGGTAATTTTCCGTTTCCCCCTAAATTTCTGTATCTATATGTGTGTATCTATCGTCTGTGTATGTTTTATTGTGTGATAGACTGAGTGGTGATTAAATAAATTGGGAGTTTGTTTTCTATCTGGTTTGTGCATAGTGTATACTTGTTTTAATTTGAATTTCAATCTTTTTTCTATACCTAATCGCATTTCGGATTTTAGAATATCCCCCAATTTCAATCTGATTCTTGTGAGATTGAATTAGATCGAGTATGAAGCCGAATGCCTATTCGGTAAATAAAGACTCCTTGTTTGTGAATCCATATTAGAATCTTCTTGAAAGCCTTGAATAGACTTGTTGTTTGCCGATTTTTTTTCCTTTTGTGTTCAGAATTTTGATTATATATGTGTGGTTTTTTATCTGTAGTTGCACGTTCGCAAGTGCAACGAATGTGGACAGCCTTTACCGGAAAGCTATCTAGCTCCTGCCGATGAGCCTTGGACTACTGGGATCTTTGGTTGTGCAGAAGATGCAGAAAGTTGTAAGTTCGTTTCATAGTTCAGTGAAAGATATTGAAGATTTCTAATGTGTCGCAAACTGCTATAGATAATCGATTTTTGCAAACTCTAGTGAAAAAACAAAATGCACGGTTTTTAGTAGTTCTTAAAGTCGAATAAATAGCTTTCAAGGTGAATTTGGCAGATTAATAACGGAAGAAGCAAATTTGAAATCTTTAAGGTTTTCGGTAAATTTGATGATTTGAAAGCCTTTTATTTTCGATTTGTAATAGGTAGAACGGGACTATTTTGCCCTTGTGTTCTGTTCGGCCGCAACGTAGAGCATGTGAGAGAAGATATTCCGTGGACCGGGCCATGCATTTGTCACGCTGTCTTTGTAGAGGGTGGGCTTGCATTTGCTGCAGCAACTGCAGCCCTGCATGGTTTTATTGACCCAAATATGACATGTCTCATTTACGAAGGTTTGTTCTTCAGTTGGTGGATGTGTGGGATATACACCGGCATAATGCGCCAGTCATTGCAGAAGAAATATCATCTCAAGGTGATCTCAATTTTTTCCTACTTATAAAAGAATAAAATGATTGTGGCGTCACAGTTTTATCATAGTATTCAAACGAATTGTTGATTTAATTCTTATTTTCGTGTTCGAATGCAGAACTCGCCATGTGACCCTTGCCTGGTGCACTGCTGCATGCACTGGTGTGCTCTGTGCCAGGAGCACAGAGAGATGAAGTCCCGATTATCAGATGAAACCGCCATGCCAATGACACTTGTTAACCCACCTCCCGTTCAAGAGATGAGTGCTGCACGCGATTCACCATCCACCTCAGCAAATGCCAACCACCAAGTTCATCTCGAGATGCAAGCTTTATAACAAACTAGCAGTAGTATTGCCCTATATACTCTACAGAGAGCTTTTCATTAGCTCAAGTTTTTAGTTTTCTTTTTCGATATACAAAACTGATGACTGTATAATCTTTTCAAGCCCCTTTTCTCGGTGTATTGTACGTTTCAATGTTTTATACAAGCCCTATTCAGAAATTACGAGGCAGAAAACAATGTCAAATATTTTCAGACCAACAAATGTAACCGGACATCCGAGATGGAACAATTCCTACTATAAAATTCGTCGACTGTTGGATTTAACAAATTCGACTTCCCAAATGAATCAACTAGGTATAGAAAGTCAAAAGAAAAGAAGAAAAGAAACAAAAACAAAAAGGAAATATAACAAACAATTACATTGAAACTTCCCAAGAAATTGAACTATGATTTTCCTTCTACTCCAGCACCTTGCTTTTCATCACCATCATTCCCCACAATGCTTTGCAATTCAAGCAATTTCTGCTTTTCCTCATCACTCTCTTGAGCCACTACTTCCTTTGCAGGCTTCGGTTTATTGCTAGTCGATTGCTGATACAATATGCCACCACCCATACAAATCAGAAGCCCCAAAGTTCCCACAAGAGTCGAGTGTTTATCCCAAATAATCAAATTTATCACAACCGTAAGCAGTTTGTTCACTATGCCAAGAACAGTGAACCCCGTAGCAGAAATCGCCCTTCTGCAAGAAAATCCGAAAAACGAGATCGCCAAACCAAACAGACACGATAATCCAACAGGCAAAACAACCTGAAACGAAGACCAATCAGATTCATCCGAAATATCGTGCTCAATCTTCTTCAGCTCCCCCATTATAAGCAACTCCACAGGAAACAGCATCAAAGCCTCGAGATTGTTGTACAGCACAAGACCCCACGTGTTCAAACCAATAGTCATCACCACATGCTTAATGTAAACGAAATCTATCGACATACTCACTAAGTAAGCCAAAGCCCAGCTATAAGCAGTGAGTGTGAATTGATAATCCGTTATGACATAAAGCACACTGCCAGCGAAGATAGTGGCGAGCGAAAGCCATGTCTTTAACGCAGGCCAAGGCTGGTGCAAATAGAGGGTTTCGCCTATTGCAACGAATATCGGAACTGCGGAGCGGAAAACGATGAATGTGTCGACATTTGCGTGGAGTAGGAGCTCACTGTTTGTGAATAGAGAGAGATAGAATATAACCGCGGCGGGTAAAAAGCGCCACATGGTAAGAAGATCGAGCTTATCGTGGTCCACCAGCTTGAGCCACCCACAGAGTACAACTCCGAGGACGCTTGTGAAGTACTGCATAGCGGTGAGTGCTCCTGGGTACGGGAATTTCATGACCGCCCATTTGTTGATGATCGAGAGAAGCGAGGCGGAAAGGCAGTAACCGGCGGCAATTCCGTAAACCGAGGCTTGCTGGAGCAAGCTGCTGTACCAGAATGATAGATGTCCAGGAGAGATCGATTGCGAATCGGATATGGGATTTCCCTCTTTCGGATTTTCAGCATCGTTGGACATTTGATCTGAACATACGTACATTATCATCGTAATCAAAAATCGTATTACACCTCAAATCGAACTTCATTCACGCATTTTGCGAGGTTAATGTTGGATTTAAACCTAATAGCTCAGTAATAATAACAGATGCATACAGCAATTTTGTTATATCCATGCTAGAAAATATACAGTAAAATTGGTTTATTCAACTAATAGTAGCAATTACACTAGCTGTTCACTGTAATTTGTTCCTCGAATCACGAGTAACTGAAAATATCAGTAGATCAAAAGAAAGCCCCAAATTAGGGCTAATTACATACACTAATAAAAATAAAAAATTCTGAATAACTGATCGAGGGGAGAAAATGTACCTATCAAATTTGATGCCACGCGCCGCTGTCGGTGAAGTTTGGGTGGCTGAAAAAGCCTGAGGCTGGTGTGATTTACATACAGTGGAAACGTGCCTTTGCAGAGAGCAGTGTCGGTGAAGCTATTTTTTTCTCCGCCGTAGGGAGATTTGGACACTGGATCTTGTTAATTTGTGTCGGTAAGTGGCGGAGTTGAAGGTGAGTAGAAAGGGGGTGGGCGGCTCCGGCAGAGGGGCCGTCGGTGGGGGCGGAGGGGAAAGGGAGGTTGTGGTGGCGAACGGCGATGGATGGGTGCTGGATTTGGGGTTGTGAATCGTGATGGGGAAGAAGAAGAAGAAGAAGGGAAAGAGAAAAAACAAATAGGAGCTAAATTTAAGCAGGTGTTTCAGTACAAGGGATTTTGTATTATTTAATCCTCTAATAAAGTTAAGCAACAATTAGTAATGTCTAAATAAATGAAATGAAGTTAATCGAGGTGAAATAAAATAAAATAGTGCAAGTTAATTTGACTATATTTAAGATTATGAGTTGGAAATTGGGACATAAATTTTGATCCAAATTTTTTTTTTTCGAATTTTTGTACCAAAAGGCGAAATTCCTCGTCCCTATCCTTGGCCCGACAAGTATTTGATGGAGGAATGTAAATCATAATAACTCAATAGTCCGCTAAGGTAGCGGACCCGGACTTGGTGCCCACAAGAAGCCAATCCTCATTGAAGTTGAAATTCCCACACTGCGGATTCTATTTACCTAGTCAAAGTTGGCCTTCGTTGGAGAATCGGCAATGGGCATTCAGTTAATATTTGGACGGATAAATGGTTAACGAGAGAAAATACATTTCATTTTTTCACAACCATTGGAGACAGAGAGCTGGAAATGAAAGTAAACGAACTAATTGATGAAGATACAGGGTTGTGGACGTCTGATTTAATCCCAGAGAGGTTTTTTTTATGACGATTGTAAAACAATTATCGCTATCCCTCTAGGTAGGCTAGTGCATTCGGTTTCTGAAGACCATTGCAAAGTAACTCTAGCTATTACTCTGATAGGCTAGTGTGTTCGGACAGCTATATTTAACACTATAATTGAAATGGGTTTTTCTCAATTCGTAGTGCTTATCATTTGATCCTTGGAATCCGACAATATGGCAGTGTTCAACCTGAAAATATCTCGAATCCTCATAATGCTCAAGACTGGAAGTGGATATGGGCTTTAACTCTACCAAACAAGATCAAGATTTTCCTCTGGGAAGCATGTAAAAACTTGCTGCCTACTTGCACAAATTTGATGAAACGCAAGGTTTTGGAAGTTAATCGTTGTGCCTTTTGTGACGAAACGGGAGAAGATATTATGCATCTTTTTGCTTATTGTACTTTTGCTCGTCAAGTATGGCAATTGAGTGAGATACTACAGTCGATATATTATACATCGAAAATTGAGTTGGGTGCATGGTTGCGTACATTAAAAAAAATCTAGATTCCAAGGCTTTTGAACAATGCATACTACTATGTTGGGCGAATTGGTATGCTCGTAACAAACAGGTGTTCAAAGGTATGAGTTCTGATGCTATGAATATAGTAGAGTTTTTCAAGAAATTTTGGAATGAGCTACATACAGCTACAGCACAAGTACTACAGTCATGCCTTATGCGCAGTCGAACCTTAGTGAAATGGATTCCCCCGAGCCAAATGGGTGAACATTAATTTTGATGCTCTGGTGAATAAGAAGGATGGAATATATTGTTTTGAATCTATAGGAAGATCGAGCTTGGGTGTATACGGCAGAGGCAAAAATGGCTTTATTGGCTGTTGAAATGGCTCGTCAGAATAATTGGGTTTTAGAAGGTGATTCACATGAAATTATTACAGCTATCCAGAGAAGATCAAGCTCACGAGCCGAATATGAAAATATCATTGAGGAGATTAAACAGATGACTGAGACTTTTACCGTTTTTTGGGTCCAACATATATTCGGAGAAGTTAATCGGGTAGCTCATAAAATAGCGTCATTGTCTAAAAAAGGTCTATGTAATTTGGGTGTTCTTCCTGTCAAGATTCAGTCGATCATTTGCTTTGAAATGAGCTGATGAAACATTTTTTGAATCTCAAAAAAAAAAATAAAAATTGAAACAATATCTTTTACGATATTCTACAAGTTCTGATTCCGATTTCTCCGATTTTTTTAGTTGAACTATAATACATATTAGATTTTGGTTACTGATCTAATTTAAATTTCTAAAAATATTTTCTAACACTTGTAATATCAATATTATTATTTACTGTTCTTTATAGGTGGGATGAAAGTCAGACAGATCTAATAGCACTTTCAAAAATAAAAGAATTCTCAAAAAGTGAAAATCTAATTTCAATCGACATTTTTAAAACTGGAATGAAAAAAACTTGTCCCAAGTCAGAAATTTTCGGATCGCACTTGCTAGAATTCAGAAATTCCAAAATTTTAGTCACCCTTTAATATAAAACACATAACAAACACCATTGATGTTATATCTGTATTTTTGGAACATACTCGGAATTTTTTGGAAATATTTTCGGAAATAAAATTAAATCGAAAATTTTAATCTAATATATATTCCAGTTCATTTCCAAAAGAACCGAAAATTTTTGGAATCGCAAATTTTGGAATTCGGCAAAATTCGGAATTTTCATTATAATTTCCACCCCTAACTATTGGTGACTAAAAAAATGAAAATTTCGAAATCCGCCTATTGTGAATTTGTTGGAACAAAAATTGAATTAGTTTCGAATTTGCATACATGAATCACATTGGTAATTTGCTAATATGGACAATGAGGGATTAATGTCCCACAATAACAAATTATTTTCTGAAATACTAAACCAAGTCTCGTTAAAGTTATACTTTCAGATCTCGTTTAATTGTCAGGATAAGATTAGCTAAGATTAATCTTATTAAACCCATTTACATTATTGGACAATAAAAAATGCACCTACAAAGGCAAAATAAGTCATGATAATATAATATTTACGGAACCGTAAGTTATTAGGATACTAAACATCAAACAAAGTCCAATTATTTAGTTAATCTCCCGACCAAACAATAACTCATTTTCTATATATTCAAAATGTACAATTTTCACACTCAATTAGTAGTGTAATTAAAAGAATATTTTTTTACATAACTGTAATTGGCGGCAAAAATTTTGAAATCAAACACCTCCATTCACCAACCGTCACAACTTCTCTTCCTCTCCACAAATTTCCTCCCAACTGCTTATAACTTCTCAATAAACTTCAAATTCTCTCTCTCTCTCTCAGAATCTTACATAATAATAAATCAACGAATCCATTAATTTTATGTTCTTTAATTTCATAAAAGTTGATAGCAAAAATGGCATCACTCAAGTCCCGTTTGGACCACTCCATCACTCCCATCGCTCTCCGATCTTACCTCGCAGAATTCATATCCACCTTCCTCTTCGTCTTCGCCTCCGTCGGTGCCGCCATGTCATCCCGTATGTCTTTTTTTCATTTCTCAATTTATCGAAAATGACCAGCATTTGATAACTAGTTGCATATATATGATGATAAATATTTTTTACAGGAAAAATGATGGCTGATGCAGCATTACCCGATCCGTCAAGCCTAGCAGTTACTGCAATGGCGAACGCCTTCGCCTTGTCGGCGGCGGTGTACATCGCCGCCAACGTCTCCGGCGGACATGTGAATCCGGCAGTCACCTTCGGAATGGCGGTCGGAGGACACATTACAATTCCCATGGCTATGTTCTATTGGATGGCACAAATGCTTGCTTCGGTTATGGCTTGCCTTCTCTTAAAAACAACTACCGTCGGACAGGTAAATCAAAATAAAATAAAATAAAATAAAAATTAATATATATAGTTAAACATCTATAAATTAATACAGTCGGGACTAGTGAATTCTAATAATTTAGCGAATTATTAAATTATCGAGTTAATAATTTAATGCGTTTTCACCGAGTCGGGACCGAGAGAAACTATTATTTAATTGAGGTTATTAATTTATCGAGGTTCTACTGTATATTGATCTGATATGATTTTCTTGAATATTTGTAGCAAATACCAGTTCACGCAATCCCGAGCGAAATGACTGGATTCGGAGCAGCGGTATTGGAAGGTGTGATGACATTCGGACTTGTGTACACCGTGTACGCATCTGCGGACCCCAGGAGGGGGGCAATGGGGGCCAATATGGGGCCCCTGGCAATAGGGTTTATAGCCGGGGCAAATGTTTTGGCATCGGGTCCCTTCACGGGCGGGTCGATGAATCCAGCATGCTCGTTTGGTGCTTCGCTTATCGGAGGCAGTTTCAAGAATCAAGCTGTTTATTGGGTCGGGCCTTTAATCGGAGCAGCTGTTGCTGGAATTGTTTACGATAACGTCGTTTTCCCCTTTCAATCCCCTGATTCTTTGAGGGGTGTTTCTGATGATGGAGTTGGAGTCTAAATTGTTGCTTAAGCAGATTGTTTTATTCATGAAGTAATTTGTTTTGTTTTTTTTTTTTTTTTTTTTTTTATTTTAGGAAGATAGTAGTTTTCTTGTACATCAACTTGCTGCTAATTTGTATGATTAGTAATAACTGTTTGGTTCTTGTGATTCTTGATCCTTTGATGGGGTTTCTTGCAATTAGTACCCCTGTGTTGTATCGATTTGCTAAAATACACCCCCATGTTATTTTTATTTGCAAAACCCCCTTAATAATTAAGTTTTTGCAGCACACAACATCTTAAACAGGGGTATTAAACTATTAATTGCTAAAAAAAATTAAATCGTAGGGGGGTTTTGGCAATAAAATAATATAAGGTAGTTTATTAGCAATTCGATATATCACAGGGGTACTATTTGCAATAAACTCATCAACTAAGCAATGATAATTTTCTTACAAGAATTGAAGTAATAAAAGTTTATTATGTATGATGGAGAACAATGCTACACCTCGAAAAAATAACAAATCTTTAGATGTTTTCGAGAAGCGGTGTGGGGCCATGGCCCCCCTTCATAGTAGCTCTTTGCTCGATCCGCCACTGCAACATCAATAACAACGCGAACATAACATAACATGTTAGATTTGAAGTTTTTACGAGCCCGACAAAGATTTCCAATCACGGGCTTTATTGAAGAACTTGTCGCCCCTCTTTCCCATTCCAGTTCCATCAAGATTAATTGAAACAAGTGTTTTTCTATCGGGCTCCCATTTCAAATTCTTGAGAGACGAAAACACGTCCGAAACCACTTCGTCGTCCTTTATATTATTACACGACTTCACTTTGAGGCTCTTAAGTTCGTTCCACGAGATTATTACAGTCTCCAAACCTTGCGATGTAAGCAACGAGCACCCTTCTAAAGACAGCATTCTTATTGTCCTGCAAAGAAAATCACCACATTCAAAAAAGTTACATATTAACAATTCTTTTCGAGATTATTAATTTCCTCGATAATAAGATTTTTCGTACGAATGGAAAGGTACCTTAAAACACTTGCAGTGGTGAACATATCATCAGTAAGACCCCAACAATTCTTCAAAACTAATTGTTTCACATTTCGACACACTAAAAACAACGCCCTCAAACTCGTTTTATCCCTTATCCGACACTTCTCCAAAAATAAACATTCAACCGCAGGACAAAAACCCAAATGCTCGTCTGCTCGAAAACCACCATCGATCCTCGTACACGACAAAAACCTTAAAGATTTCAAATTTTCAAAGTACGAAAGAGCCAGCAGCCAACCATCCTCCATTTCGTGGTTGCAAAGAGTCAACTCTTCGAGCATTACACAACATTGACCAATTGCTCGAATCCCCTCGTAACTCCCTTTACATCCGCTCAATTCGAGTTTGACCAATCTCTTACACCCCTTTGCTACAATACTCAATCCGATATCCGAAACCAACGACACGTAAAGCCCATTGACGGTCCCACTCAACCTTAAAATCTGCAAATTCTTGCAGGCGGCGATCCCACGAAGAACACGATCGTTGCACATACGCAGCTCGAGTTCTTGCAACGTGGGGCATTCCTCAGCTACTATCAACAAGCCCGTTTCACCCGCATTGATCACCGCTAATTTCCTTAAACTCGGAAAACCGTCGGCTAAAACCCTCAAACCCCTGTCTACTTCATCAGCACTCAACACAGAATCTTCATTAAAAACCCAATCTTTATTACCGGAACCGACACGAAAGGATACAGTCTTGTGGGAGACCGAAATACCCGAGTTGTTACGAGGCGAAACGAGACATCCACCGACCAAATCGACGCGAACGAGATTAGGGAATCTGAGAAGTAATCTACCTGAAAGGAGAAAATCCCAATCGAGAAGCTTCAAGGATCTGACGAGCCTGCCTTGAAGATTGAGCCACCTCTTGGAAACAAGAAAATTCGCAGTCCTCTGTGATTCGGGAATCTTGGAGAGAATCTTGAGCAAGATTCCATCGGAGAGAAGCGAAGTTCTGTCGGAAACAAGACTTGTTGTGAGAGTGGTAAAATCAGCTTGGAGTTTGGTTGTGGGTTTTGAGAAAACAGAAAGAGGGACCCTTTCTTGAGTAGTGCTGCTGAGGGAATGGCGACGCATTGAGTACAGCACGTTGCTCAAGGCTTTCTTGTTCTTGAACCATATTGGCGGCTCTTTGTTTTCTTTGTCAGCGGCCGAACAAGCCATTAATTATCTCTGCACTTCTTCGAAAGAATTGAATTTGATTGGGGTTTTCTGGGTTTTGATGCTAACGGGCATCGGTTTTATCTATCCTACACCCGGTGAAGGTTACACCGGGTGATTTTTCACCGTTGATCTACACACACCAATGTGGGTGTGTGTGTGTTTGTGTGTATATTAATGGTAAAGATCCACCAACGGGCATCTATGCTATGAAGGTGTTTGTGTGTGTATTGTGGGGTATAAGTGTTAAGGAATTGTTGTTTCAAATTGTTGAAATTTATTTGTCGGGACATGAGAATTTGAATTTGCGCTCGGTCGGCAGTTTGCTGGAAATACTGAAACGTGAACCCCATTACATTTATTAGTTGGGTTGTTTTTAGTTTTAATTTAACTAACTAGATAATTTATAAAATGAAAATCAATGCCAAAAAGACCTTGAAATTGAGCATTTTGGCACTTTTAACCTTTGAAAAACAATAATAGCACTTTGCATTCTCAAAACACAATAAATCATTCACAATACACCATTAATTGAATAATAAATGATAATTCATTTTTTATAGGTTTTTTTTTTTTTTTTCCGGCGTGCAAAATAACAAATTAAATTGTTATTTTTTTCAACCTCCAACCTAATTTCGAGCGGAAAAGTGCGAAAAAAATAAAAGTCACACCGGTTAATTGAAAAAATATATATTTTCTTACAAAATAAAATAAAATAAATTTTTATCACTAAATTATTTGATTGATAGATGTGTTATTGTAACTGGTGGAAATATTAGGTACAAATATTTGTAAGAAAATATCATTTTAAGATATATTGTGTTTCGAGGGTGCAAAATGCTATTAATTATTTCGGAGGTGCAAAATGCCAAAATGATATAATTTCAAGGGTGCAAAGTGTGATTAAGCCCACAAAAATATTAAAATTTTCATTTTTCTTTATTCAATAGTCAATACCAAACACACAAAAATTACGCATCCATTATGTGTCAAATTTAGTGGAATCTTTTGAGTAAGCATTTTGCACCATCGAATGACAAGTGTTTGGCATTTTGCACCTTTAAATTGTAAAAATAGCAGAATGCACCCTCCAATTATAATATCCTTGGCAAAGTGCCCCCATTTCAATATCACAGGTCACATTTTAAGCCAAACGTTGAATGAGGGTGCACTTTGCAAAGGGTATTACAATTGGAGGGCGTATTCTGCAATTTTTACAATTTAAGGGTGTAAAGTTCCAAACAATTATAACTCGAGGGTGCAAAATGTCAATTAATTGAATCTTGTAGATTATGTGTAATATTCTCCAGTTAGTACCCATTTTACGAGCTCCACATTTTGAAACAAGATGATCATAAAATGTGTCTCTTGACTAGGGGTGTGAACGAGCCGAGCTCGGCTGTTTTGGCAGACTCGAGCTCGAGTCCATTATGCCAAGCTCGAGCTCACCGAGTTATTTTTTTTTGGCTCGAGCTCGAGCTCGAGTTCGAGCTCATTATGTTTTTTTTTTTTTTTTGCTTTTTTTTATTATTAATCTTTTATTAAAAAATATTTATAGTATAATGAAAAAAATTATAAAGTAAATAATAAACTGTAGTTATATATAATTTTAATTTTTTAATGTTATATTTTTATATTATTATAATAATAATAATAATAATAATAATAATAATAATAATAATAATAATAATAATATTAATAATATTAATAATAATAATATATAATATATAAAATATATGAAAAAAAAAAAACACCAACTCGCTCGCGAGCTAGCGAACAACTATATTTGTGCTCGAGCTCGAGCTCGTCCAAAGCTCGAACTCGTGAGCTCGACCTCGAGTTCGAGCCTTTTGTCGAGCCGGCTCGTCGAGTTCGCGAGCCGGCTCGGCTCGTTTACCACCCCTACTCTTGACTAGTAAATATCAAATTGTTGTGCATTAGAAACTACATTTTTACACAAAACAAGTACAAACTAGAGAACATTCTACGAAATATAGAAGATTCTATTGAATCTGGCACCGTAAGAATAATCATGTAAGAAAATTCATAATTGATGAGTGATTGTAATTACGCAAACAAAAGAGATTTTTTGTAACTTAATATGAGTTCAGTGGTGCCCGTAATAATTTATCCAAAATTAAATTATACTACTAAGTACTAAGTTCCAATTTCTCACCGTCCACAAAATTTCACAAAATATTTTCTTATGCCTAAAAATCTAAACGAAAGAGCGGCTCAAATTTACTGAGCAGAGCAGAAGTTAAAATATCTTATATCTATATGCCAGAAAAGGTGAGCCTTTGTAGATAAGAACATGCGGAGGTCATTCGGCGGCAGTGGCAGAGGTATGGGTGGAGGTAGCGGCGGCATGATGAGAACCGTTCAAAGGGCTGTCAGGGCTGGCGTCGTCGGCGGCGCACCGCCGGAGCCCTTCTCACCTTCGACCACCACCACCAACATCGCCGCCGCTAATGGTAGTAGGAAATCAAGAAAAGGCAACAACTTGAATAACAAGCAGCCCACTTCTCCAAACAACGCCGCTTTATCTCATTCTTCTTCTTCTTCTGGAAATGGTAGATCAGCCTTTTCTTCTCTAATAAATCTGCCGGCATCTGCTACTTCCGGTGCAGCTGCACCCACCACCTGGCCGGGGGATTCTTCTTCTGAATGGGAGTGTGTAGAAGATGAAGAAAGGGCACGTGTTTTTTATGATGATTTTGTGTTTGGAACTGCTCCTTCTACAGATGAAGTCCACCATGCAGTTTCTGCTCTTCAACAGTCAGTTCTTCTACTTAATTATAATCTCTCACTTTTTCGATTTCTTTCTTCAATTTAGATAACATCAATTATTTGGAAAGGGTATGATTAAATTTTGCAAGTAGTTTCATTGTAAGAAATTACATAGAATGTTCAAAAAAGGTACTGAAAAAAGATTGATTAGTTCTTGGATTCTGTGGCATTATTCGAATAAATTGCATTTTGCCGTGTAAATCGAAACCGTGTTCTATTGTATCTCGGCGCACGTATGTTTGATTTCAGTGGTTTTGATCGACAGGGTTATTAGTCCGTCATCATACAGGCGTTTTCCGAATACAAATCTTGCTGAGAATATAGGCAGAGATGAAGTAGTTGGTAACGGAATCGGGTTCGAGAGGTTAAATTCTTCACCCGAGTGCGAGATGGATTGGATCGAACCACTGGCGAATGACTATAATTCAAATAATAGAGCAGTATTTGATGCCTTCCATTTATTAAACACAGAAACTTCTGTTCAGGTTTTTTCTTTTTTTATTTATTTAAATAAATTATCATGATTTATTTCAACTGAAATCTTATGTTGTATTGTTTTGGTGAAGAGGATGGTTGTATCTTTATCGTCGGATAAAGCTCTTTGGGATGCTGTCATGAACAACGAGGCGGTTAAGGATCTCAGACGATCACTCCATCAAGGTTCCATTTTTTTCTTTTTTTTTTTTCTCCTTTTGTGTCTCTGCATCTAATCATTTGTGTACATCAGACGACAATGTAGTCGTCGGGGAAAGCTCGGGCGAGGGCTCCGGTGGGTCCAACCCAGTGAAGGATTTGCTAAGTTGGATAGTTGCGAATGCTAAGTCAAAGATGATGCAACTAATTGACACAATGGCAAAGTTTCTGAGTCAATATTTCGAGCTTCAAAATGAGGAGAAGAAAGGAGATCCTTTGGACGAAAAGCTTAAAACTTCTTTGTTGCTTTCGATCATCGTCCTCTTTGTAGTGGTCGTTACTCGAGCACAAGGGGCATGATTGTAATTTGCTGACGTTACCTAATGGTGTCTATGCCTATATACCTAATTGTATCTTTTTTCTCTGTATGGGAGTTTGTATATTTATCAGAATGTAGAATATACTTTCTTGTGGTCAACAAAGTTCCGATGTTTTGCAGCAGAAATGAATAATCTCTACATCAGACCGTGAACGATGTTCAATATTGAGCGCAACGTAACATGTGGTAAGGAAGAAATACATTGATCCATTTGAAATATCATTCGGTAAGAATGTTCAGTCTAGACTACCCACACAAATCCTAATTTTCAAGGGCAACTTAAAACGCTCGAACACCACATAAATTTGTTCGAGTAATAGCATAGAAAATTGCTGATTTGTGAAAACAGTAGTCGATATAATTGGACCAAGTCGAAAGCTATGTAAGCATTCTCTTCATTCGTGTGGGATATAAATATATACAACCCCCTCTATCCCATGCAGGCACAAACCCTATTACTAACGTCCCTCAAGCCAAGTCGGACAAAAATTTCGAGGAAAAATATCAAAAACTCGGTTTTCTCAGATTTTCTGTTGAAATCAATTTAATAATCAGCAAAACATCATCCAATACAATCTAGACTCGCTTCCTTTTAGACTAATCAAACCGAAATTCATTTAGTTTAAAAAGAAACACTAAGCTTAGTAAAAAGGCAAAACCAGGAGCCCCCAGCACAATCACACCACCTGCCATACATGAACTAGGAGAAGGAATCAGCGGAAATTAAAAACGAAAAAAAAAACTGAAATTGGAAGGCTCGTTTAGTAAGAAATTGTCAGATTAAACATACCATCTCTGACACCTCACAATCGAAGTTGCTTACCTTCACTTAGATTAGTAGAGAGGCAAGCATCGGCTAAGCATCCATTAGTAACAAGTTATGGATAAGCGTAAGAAACCAATATAAGAACATGTTAGGAGAAGATTAAGAAATCAAGAGTAAATTTGGGACAGTCAAAACAAAGGTCAGCAAACAGAATCTAGAAAGTCAAACATATAACGTAAAAATTGACTGAATAAGACAGACACAATAAAGCAAAAATAAAAAAGAAAGCATGTGCCAATAAAGGGTTAGTTCAACAGTCGAAAATGTGAACTAGGTAGCACAACACATGGCTGAATTATCCGGGGAGTAATCTCTCAGCTCTCTGCAAATGTAACACTACAGCAAGGTTACGTGAGTCCAAAACATCCAACAAGTAAATCATGGCAAGAGATAACGAAATCAGGTTGGCAAGAGCTCCAACAAACTGCCTGTCAAGATATTAAATAATGGCAAAAGAAACAAGTGTTATGATTGGTCGAGTAATAATTAGAAAGCTAGTTTAAAGTGAAAGCATGTACGATTAATTAAATCAAATAAAGATATGAGCTTGAAGGAGTAGGCTGTAACTCCAACTAATGGTAGAGAAGGTGCCCACGGGCAACATAGATAGTCATCAGTTAGAATACGAATATCTGCAGAGACTCATCAAACATTTCATGAGGAAAAGACAAAATATTATCCACACGGCATTCAATCATTTTACTTGTAAGACAAGGATCTGATAGGAATAGTATCCACACAGCATTCAAGCATTTTATCAAGTGTTGTCTTTTTTTTCTAGGAAAAGACTATCAACTAAAAATCATTTGTGTTCCATAATAAAGAAAATAAATGAACCAATTTCTACATAGATTAGTAATAAACATCAAATGCATAAAGCTAATATGAAGCGAAGAGAAGAAAAACGGACTGGTAATCATGTGACATTAATTCCTTTTTTATCATATCATTCACGGCCAATTATATCCTCAATCCATTGTTCCGATGGAATGCTTATATCATAGAATTAATCTACTAGTTGTACACTTCTATTACATTGATTCATTGTCATGATTTCATTTCATCATTGTAACTAATATGTACAACTGAATAACATTGATTCATTGTCATGATTTCATTTCATCATTGTAACTAATATGTACAACTGAATAACATTTATCCTAATCGGCATATTCAAGACAATTTGTATCGCATTCTACAATATTCTAAATTGACTAAACAAGTCCCCCTCTCCCTCCACAAAACACACACCCAAATCGCTCTGCATGGCAAAACATGCATATCAATTCCTACATGACAAGCTATTCGGGTCAATAATGCAACCTCAGAGACATCACAATAACATTTCAATTAGAAAAAAAGATATGTATGGACAAAAGAAATAATTGAAGTTATAAGCCAGCAATGATCAGATATAACAAGTTCTTTTTTTTTTTTTTTTTTAAGATGATATAGCAAGTTCTTTAAATACAAAGAAAGGGAGAACCATGCTTACCTGTCATTTGAAAAGCCATTTCCAGACAATCACAGCATCATTTCATTTCTGCCATGAACTTCTCATATTCCGAATCTGCACCGTAGTTACTTTTTTCAGCAGCTGCAGAAGGTGGAGGCAGTGGTGGATTCGAGGCCCAAGGAACATTACCCAAGCTTTGGGAAGGATCCAAATTCGACTGGGGCATAGCAGGAGGAGGGGGAGGAGGAACAGCACCATAATGCGGTTGATAACTATACGGAGGTGCTGGGTATTGATACTGAGAATTTGGTAGCACCGAGTTGCCATAGGCATAGGTCGGAACAGATTGAAACGGTCCACTACTCTGAGCCTGAACTCCAGGTGGATAACTTTGCCGTGTCTCACCGGAAGATGAATAACTTTGTTGAGAATCAGTAGAAGAAACAGTCTGTGTCTGCACACCAGACGAACCAGGAGGCAGTGGTGGAGGAGGATATTGCATTCCATACTGAGAAATGTGCTGACCTGGAACTGGAGGATACATGGCTGATCCTGGAGGGGGAGGAGGGGGAGGCTGATAAGGGGAATAAGAAGGAGGTGGTGGTGGTTGTCCCCACGGAGCTGCCGCCCCAGGATAGACCCCAGGCGGTGGCGGTGGTGCACTTCCAATGGGCCCACCGATCCTGTACTGCTGTGAAGGGTACCCACCACCAACATGCTGATTTGGAGCAGGATACGTCGGCATAGGTTGAGCAGGAGAGGCTGGTGGCATAGCAGGCTGAGGAGATTTACCTGCAACTCTCACAGCAATTGATCTACCGTCTAATTTGTGACCGTTCATGCTAGCAATAGCAGTATTAGCTTGCTGGACATCAGCATACTTAACAAATCCATAACCTTTACTAAGGCCAGAGATCCGGTCTTTGATAACCTTAGCCATCACAATTTCACCAAAAGCAGAGAACAAGCTGATCAAACCATCGTCCTCCATCGTAGGAGGCAAATAGCCAATATATAAATTTGTCTCGTCGTATTCCTTTGGCTTCATTACATTCGACCCTAAACCAGGATGCGCTGAGTTACTAGAAATGTTTGTACCACCTGCCCAAGGAGGATTGGTGCCCGTACTGCTAGGAAGAGCAAGTGTCGCAGAGAGTGACTTGGTTGCGGATTCTGGCCCTGTTCCACCAAGTTCCGCCAGAAAGTTCTGATACTCATCGTCCATTTTCTTCCCAGTGGTATTCTTTACCGGGCAATCGATAGTAGGATGTCCACCATCACCACATATCTTACACAAAACATCGCTCTTAAATGTCGATAAGCGTGAAGGACATGCAAATTGTCTGTGGCCAGGCTCACCACACAGTCTACAAAACTCTTCATCCCTGATAGTACCGTTCAATGCTGCAAGCTCCCTAAGCTGCTGTCTCTTGTGCTCATTGAGAACCTCATCAACAGGCTGCAATAGCTTCTCAACCATACCCGCAGCAGCTTCAAGTGACTCCTGTGTATCCGCCTCCACCAACACATGCAAGTCCTCGTTATCCGAATAGTCGGGCTTCAAATCTCTCTTCTGCTGCAGCCTACCCTCCTTCACCGACCCTTTGCCCCGAATAACAATCTTTGCTCCAGTCTCTCGTTCCATTCTCTTCTGAGTGTTTCCTCTAGGACCAATTATCAACCCGATAAAATTGTAACCAGGGTACTCTTTCAACGGAATATATAGCTTCTTATGAAGTTTTGGTGGCCTATAATCAGCCGGTGGCTTGAAGGCGGGATTTTTCTTAATAATCTGGGATATAATCTCTTGTCTCTCCCTATTCAGTTTCTCCCTTGCACGGTACTCCCTAGTGTTAATCCTTACTCCCATGTTATCGTATACAGGTTCCGGAGAGGGCGACCTAGCCCCCTCTGGACGATCATCCAAAGGCAAACCCGATTGCAACTTGCGACTAATCTCAAGCAACATACTATTCAAAGATTGAATCTCGGGATCGAACTCAATACCTCCGGCGAAATCCTTCATGAAATCAGGGAACTGGACCAAGGGTTTGGGCTCATCATCAGCCCACCTCGACTTCCGCTTCCTTCCTCCAGCCCCGGAATTGACATCACCGTTCCCACCAGTGCCGGCAGAGCCATCGTTGGTGGACTCGCTCGGAGGCGGGTCCCACCTGGAACGCCGCCGCCTTCGGCTGGTGGTTTCCTCCTCCCCGCCGGAGACATCCTTGTCGGCGCCGCTGCGGGTGCTGGTTAAACCGTTTCCTGACACTAGCGGATTCGAGGAATCGGGTTTCGGGATAAGCGGGGATTCATCGGCGGCGACAGCTCCGTTCGGAAGAACGATTTTGGATGAATCTAGGGTTTTGTCGAGGTTTTCAGATTGGGTATGAGGGTAGGAGTTCGGTTGATTTTGGTAGTCGGCGTTGTGGTTGTCTTCGGCGTTAGGCGGTTGAGGTTGAGATTCAGATTGGGGTTCAGATGGGGAATCCATGTAATTGGATTGAAGAGTGTCCATTGCAGAGAGAGAGAGAGGGGGGAGAGAGAGAGAGAGAGGGAGACGACGACGAGAAGGTATTGAAATGTGATGAATGACGAGATGAGGCCGTAGATACGCCGTATTTAGGGTTTGGATATTATACGGTTGTGGAACGGCGGTTCATGTGGACCGAGTCCTATCCTTGCAACAACTCTTTCATCATTTGTTATTATACCCCTCCACAATTTTTATTCCAATAATACCCTTCAAACAAATTAGAGACCGACTCTACATTTTCCATCAGGGTTGTTCATGGGTCGGTTTTACCCGATAACATACCCATTATCTGTTCAATTCTGGCCGATAATTGCCCAACAACTGATTCGTTTTGGTCAGGCCGATAATTTTAACCGACCCATGCATGGTTGGGTTGGGTATAGTATTTGTTGAAAAGTCAGTTGACCGATATTATCCGCCCAACCGACTTTTTTTTTTTAAATTTCTCTTTATGTTTTTATTGACTATCAATTCTTAATAATAATAAAAAAAATACTATCAATTTCAATATTTAATTTTTGACCTTTCGGTGAAATGAATAAAAATACACAACTAAAAAAACTATACTCTTCATTTTTTTCCCTTATCTTCGACTATTGTCTCTCTCTCTCCCTCAACCATAGTCGTCGATGTATCCCTCATCTCTCTCTATCAGCCCATCGCCGATGACGCGCCGTTGCTTCCTCCAAAGATTTACCTCTAGCCCTCTCTAGTTCTTTCTAAACTCTAAGGTACGGGTTTTTGTGTTTCTCAAATTAAAATTAAAATTTTCGGAATTTTGTGTTGTGAACGTGTAAATGGCTTATTGTTTTTGGAATTTTAATTTGTAATATGTGATATTGTTGAAATTTGATTTTGGGCATGAAATATTGGAATGTTTGTTGCTGAATTTGATAGGGGAATAGCATAATTTTTTATTTTATTTTTATTTTAATTAATGTGGCCGATAATTTTCAACCGATCCGTACCTGATCCGACTGGATTCATGGTGGGCTGGTTTAAAGAGTTGAGTAGGCCTGAACTTGGACCGGAGACCACGGTAAACCTACAAGAAAGAAAAGAATCGGACTTAGGCTGGAGTTAGCACACCGACGGCCAAGTCAGTAACTTCCTGAAGAAGGTATTATGCTTATGTGTGTAATTTATGTATATGATTTCGTGTCGTTTCACCTGTATTTACTGCCCCCTATTTATACTAAAGAAAGGGACGGACGTCAAATATTCTTCAATTTAATTTACCTGTCCCATTGCGGTAATTAAGCATCCGGACCCCAAATTACCTTCAATGCAGTTTAATCCGTCATTTCATTGGCGGCTGCGGGGGCAAAAAGTAGGGGGCCGAAAAGACATTCCTCTGCGCTTGTCAGTAGATTAGACGTGCATTAAATACCCCCATGTGCAGCAATGATCACCTCCGGTTGGCGGCGAGAAGCTTGGCGAGAGAGCGAGTCGGCGAGAAGCCTCTCGCTCGCGGGTTACTCGCGACCCGTTGCTTTGTCCCTCTCGCCTAACGAGTACCAGTTTAATGGGCCCTCTTCTGTTAATGGGCTTAATGGTGCCTTTTGACCTTGTTTGGGCCTTTGGTCTTTATTGGATCTATCAAGCGATACTGGGCTGGATCAACTAGTCCCCCACTCGCGGTTACTTGCGACCTGATGCTAGTGGCTGCGAGTTCGCTCCTTTGCGAGAGACGGCTTGTATCCCATTCCGACGACTCGCTTCTTAGCATAATCATTTGCACTGTTTCGAATAACGTGCCTCGTTTCACATTCCGTAGCAGAAAAACCGTACAAATTCCGAATAATTAAATAACTGAATTTATTATTCTATTTAATTAAAACCGTTTTTTTTTTTTTTTTTTTTTTTTCGAAGTTGCAGCGCCGCCTGCGCTGTCCACTCACCATTAATGCAGCGCAGGCGGGTCTCTTCAAATCCCGCACTTCCGACTATAAAAATGGGAGTCCTCCTCATTCCTCTCCTTTACATTCCTCCTCCTCCTTCAGCCCCTCTTCTTTTTCCTCTTTCCTTCTCCGGCGTCGGAAATTGCTTTCTCCTCCTCCGGTTCCTCCCTTTCATCCAGGTAAATACTTTCTTATCTTGCTTTTGTGATTCTCCATTTCTCTTTTTTTTTTTCGTGTTTCTCCTCCTTTGCTTCTACTCCATTGTCCTCCGAGTCTTCCTCCTCTTCCTCTGGGGAGATTCGTACCCCTGTAATTCGCCTCGGCCCTCCGTCGGAACAGAGAAATAGGCCCAAGAAGAGGGCCGTGGTATCCAAAACCCGAGGCCCACCAGCCACCTCTGCTCGCCAGAAGAAGGAGAAAGGCAAGGCCCCACTCTTCTCGCGACATAAAGGGGGGGACGATGCGACCTCCCCCTCTGGCGGAGAGAAGGGGGTTATTAGGGTTCCGAAAGTGAGGGAACCCTCCGTATGCATTTTGACCAACCCCCAGTACTCGATTTTGACCCCCGACGATATTGGCGACCTACTCGTTCGTCAAGGGGTAGACATTTCCTACGATTTAGCTCTTCCTTCCCCCTCGCAAGATTCCCTTCACCCTCCTCGTGGCTATATGACCTGGCATATTGACCAATTGCTCTCGGGTTTATCGCTGCCCGCTCACCCATTTTTCTTGGATGTGGCTCGCAAATTTCGCGTGCCCATCAACCAATTTCTTCCTAATTCTATTAAATTTATGTCAGTCTTTTTTATTATCTGCGCCGAGGCCTCCATAGCTCCCTCCGGCGAGCTGTTCCATTCTGCCTTCAAGGTGAATCACTCTCATTCTGGCTTTTTCCATCTTACAGCTCGCCCTAACGTAGGTCTTTTTAAGGGTTTGACTAACAAAGTACATAATTGGCCCAAGCGTTTTTTATTCATTCGTTCGCCCACTTCTTGGGGCTTTGATCCGTCGTATGTCGAGACAACCCCTCGCCCCGTTGGGGTGTCTCCCGACTGTTTGGATGTACTCTCTCGCTTGACTGCTCACACTCCCCCCCAATTGTGGGATGTTGAAAAGATAGTAGCTAGCCCCTCTCTTTTTGCCCGCGCTGGATTGTGGGATATGTCCTCGTCTGACCCTCGCCCGCTGGGTATTTATTAGGGATAATTTCCATATTTCGTTATTATTTTGATTTATTCCACCAACGCTAAATATTGTTAACCATTGTTGCCTGTTTGCCATGTGTTTTCCATCAGGCGAGATGATTCGAGAAGCTATGAAGGCGGCTCTCGCCAAGCAGCGCGCCCACTCCTCCCGCACCCCTTCTGAGTCCACGAGCCATGCTCCTCATAATCGCACACCATCTCCTTCTAAGGCGGCCACCAGTGCAGCGGCGGGGTCAGGCTCTCGCCTGGAGACCCGGCGAGAGACCCCCACTGCTCCTCCCCCATCCGTTGTTTGGCAACCTGTTATCGATCTCGGCAGTGAAAATGCCGATAACCAAGAGGCCCATGATTCCTTTCGCTCGCTGGAGCAGGTGCACTATGACTCTGGTCGCCATAAGCGAGACGCCAGCGGAGAACATACTTCTATGATGTCCAAGCGACATCGTCCAGATGACAAGGGCTTCCTATCGTCCCTCTCGCCTGACCGCAGTCTCGACGAGCTATCCCAACACTTCAACCAGTTGAAGCATGTGGAGGATGCGCAGGCGCTCGAGCGTATGTCTCACGAGCAGCAATATTCCCGACTGCTATTCCATTGCTCCCAGGTATGTGTAATTTTATCTTAAGCTCGCAGCTAGCATAATCATATTTACGAATTGCTTCGTATACTATTTTCAGATCAATGTTCTTCTCGCTCATGGTCTTGGCTCGACAGATCCTACTCTCCAGGCCGAAGAGCTTGCCTTCATGAAAAGGCTAGCTAGCGAGAAAGCCAACGAGGTCACCCGCTTACAAGACATGTTCCGCGAGTTGACCAATGAGAAAGATGAGATTGCTCGCCTAGCCAATGAGAAGTATAATGCGATGAAGTCATCTCTTGAGAGCAAGGCTGCTCGTCTTCACGCCGAAAAGGAGCAGCTGATCGCTATTTCACGGCAGAAACAGGAGGTAGTGGAGGCGGAGTGTATGAGGACTGTCGCACTGGAGCGTGCGAGGAGCTTGTACGATCATTTGTGCTCGATAGATGGGCAAGACTTCCTGCGAGGGTATCGCGAGGGCCTAAGCCGCAAGTATCCTTCGTCCGCGCATTTTGCTAATGCCGCGACACCAATAGGTATGGGCTTCATGGATCGGGGCATCCGCATGTATGCGGCCCGCCATAATCTCGATGATCCCTCTGAGGAGATCAGCGCCATTCTTGACTTGCTGGGCGATGAGATCCCCGGCTGGGAGGGAAATCCTACCGAACCCGTGGATCACGCCTGGTGGGCTGGCGTGCTCAAGGGGATGCTCGCGGAGCTGAACAAGTACGCCGCACAAGCCCCCTCTAATATGGCTCGCCTGGACCCTACTTGTTCCGCCTCTACCCTTTCCGATATTCCTCCTTCCTGAGGCCTTTATATTTTTCTTTTTATTTGCAACAATTTCGAACAATTCGCTTTTTCTGAACAATGTTAATTTTTATTTGGTTACTTGTATTATCTATTGTTTACGAGTTTATTTTGTTACGTTCTTATTTTTATATTACATGCTTTCAAGCTCTATTATGACGTTCATATCTCATCATTCTCCCTCCTTCGCGTATCTCGTTTTGTACTCTCTAGCGGATTTTGCTCCATGCATATTCTGCTCACAACTTTCGTATTTAGAAATAATTCTAACTGTCTTTTCTCGCTTTCTAGCGGAATTTGCTCGATGCACCTCTTGCTCGCAACTTTCGTATTGGAAATATTCCAATAATTCTAACTTTCGTTTCTCGCTTTCTAGCGAAATTTGCTCGATGCAAATCTTACTCGCAACTTTCGCATTGGACATATTCCAATAATTTTAACTTTAGTTTCTCGCTTTCTAGCGAAATTTGCTCGATGCAAATCTTGCTCGCAACTTTCGCATTGGAAATAATTCTAACTGTCTTTTCTCGCTTTCTAGCGGAATTTGCTCGATGCAAATCTTGCTCGCAACTTTCGCATTGGAAATAATTCTAACTGTCTTTTCTCGCTTTCTAGCGGAATTTTCTCGATGCAAATCTTGCTCGCAACTTTCGCA